TTTTATTTTCTTAAAATTTTCTAAAACAGTGGAAAATGTTGTGCTACTCAGATTTTTTCTGATAGCCGAAAGGTGAGGAACAATGGATGACTAACATGATTGTGTGGCCTTATGAGACATTATAACATGTAATTTACACTTCTAGATATCTCTTCACTTTTTATCCAGATCTGCCAATATTGGCTCAAACCACATTATTTACTCTTTTTCATCATTAAGCACTCCTATCATTATTAACTTGTTTCCTTTAATTGTTTTTATTTGTAATCAGTACACATGGCTCATGATCTGCCCTGGAGTTTCCTTTTGAGATGTTTCAAGATATCAGTTCACAGAAAGACTATAAGAATAGAGAAAATGTGACTATGAATACCAAAAAACAGAGACCAAAATAAGGCAGGATGTGTTCTTTTAGGTATAAGAATTTTGTATTTATCTCCTGTAACTCTTTTTTAAAATGCTTCAGTTCCATGTGTCCTTCTACATACAAAAGATTAGAGCAACACATCTTGGGTTGAGAGATTTGCTATGATTTTTTTTTCTATTATTTACATTATTTTTCTGGGTCGGAGAAAGGGGTGTAAGAAATAAATAAATAGGATCCTCACTATCATTATCATAAAATAATTTACTATGGACCAACTTATGGGTGGCCTTGTTCAAAATGACTTGGACGTACATTCTCAGCATTAACATGGAATGATGTCCAGAGTTCAGATAATAAAAAGATATTTGTTAGGCTAATGCTTAGTTATGCATACTATTTTGCAAGGGTAATAAACAGAATGAATAATGATAGAGACTTATTTTGGATACTAGAATCTCAGTTATAACAGCAAATCCCTCCAGTTCTAGAATCTTTACAAGGGAGTACCTATTGCTTGTAATCTGACCTTCCATGAAGATAAGACACATGTCTCTAAGAATAATATAATACACACCCTGGAATGAGAAGTATATAAATATTACAACACAATTAATTCAAATATAAATATATTTAGTAATATGCAAATACAAAGATGTTCTTAGTTATATTTTACTTTTTCTGGTAGATAAGAGCACTTGAAGCATCCTCTTCTGCATTAGTTAGTCCTTCTTTATGTGTTCAGCATTTTTCTTGGTTCATACCTATCACACATTCTAGAGCCCTTATTATTTGCAAGTTATTTGCAGCTTGTGGTAATATGTGATCCAAATGCCATCCCAAGTGACACTGAAAAATTACTAATGGTGTTACTCTTTTACAAATAAACCTCTTCTTTTACCCAAGTATGCTTCATCTGTGTTTTCTCTGTTGATATTATAAATGTGTTTCTCCATCTCGAGATAAACCAATGGCTTTTTACAGTTTTTGATAAGAAGAGTCACTTCCTGAGTGGGATGGAAGCTAATGATAAGTCTGTTTTAGAATGATGGATCTTACGACATGTTGTAGGCAAAAGAGTCATAATACATCCTCCATCACCACATTTATCATTGTGACCTAGATCACTAAATAATTATTGTATACACATTTAAAGAAAACTTTGTGATAATGAATGAAAGAATTTTACTTTTTAGACCATACAATGTCAGAATGTATTTATCGTCTCTCTTGAAGGGACTATAAATAGTATAGGAGTAGATATACTATTAAATAGTATAAATAAATAGGGGTAGATAAGGGCACTCAAAGAGGTAACAGTTCAACCATTAGAACGGTGTTTGAAGGAGGAATTATAGAGCCCTAGAGCCCGACTTTTCCAGGTGGTGCAATTTTAAACAAATTGCTGTGTACAAACAATGCATATCACTGGTGAGTTTCACCACTCTTTTCTATTGTCCTAGGCATTTATCTCTTCACTCCAAGAAACTCACTGTCTTAGGAGTACTCATAGTGGCTTAGAGTTCCCAATTTGATGCCAGATATGAGTAATTCCATGTATCCCTTGCCTATTCCTCTCCACTTTTGCTCCATTGGGATTCTACTCTTCTATTGATTATTTGTAGTATGCTTATTCCTAAGAATTATGAGAGTAGGGGGAAAGAGTCTGAATAGAGGCCCACATATTTTATTGTTTATTGTAAACCAACTAGAGATTACTAAATAAAATGTTATATTTTCCCATTTTGACAGACATATCTTTATAACAACCTGGATGGCCAGATACAATGTTAGAACTTTTGGAGTCCTCAGGAATATGTTGGCATGGAGAGAAATGGCTCCAGTCTACAGTCTCTCCTCCATCCACTTCTAGCATATATTGTGAGAGGTCTTACATGCAAGTTTTTGGACACCCTAGCCTACATGTCCAGGATCTGTATAGTTTCCCATCACACATTGACACCTGGACCTCCCATTCCTTCCTAAATATATGCACACGGGTGGCACAATCTGCTCTCTGGGGATTGAACTGGGGAAGATGACATTACAGTTTCTAGATAAAGACTTGGGGTTATTTGCAAAGGAAATTCTGGGATCACAGGGTCTGGAAGGGGAGAGTGCAGAATCTAAATGAGCCTTTTTCTTCACTCCACAGACTTTGTACAGTGGGGAAGAATGTGGTCAGAGAAGGACAAGAGTGATACTTGTTGGTTTACTGCCACTCTCCTAGTCACATGAGACACATAAGTTAACAGACCACAGTGCTTGACCTTATAGGGCTATATTCTGGGAAAAAGAGAGACAGGTTACCAATACTAAATCTAATAAATGTATGAATGATATAATATGGTAGAAGGTAAGAAGTAGTGGGGAAAATATGAGAATTGAAGCAGGTAGAAGTGTAGGGGCTACAGTGTTAAACAGGTTTATCAGAGTTGGCCTCAACTGAGAAGGAGATATTTGAACAAAAACTTGAAGGTAGTAAGGGAGTTTGCCAAGAAGATAACAAGATGAAAGGAAACTCAGATTTTTAAGGGCATAATGCACAATTTAAGGTAGAACTATAATTTCCATGTGAAAGAGAACTGATGACTAGATCATATACTGTAGTTCTGTCTAATAGAATTGTAAGGCCATAGAATTTAAAATGTTTGTTTTGCCACCATATGAAAGTAAAAAGAAACAACTGATATTAACTTTAATAATACATTTTATGTAACTCAATTTATCTCAAATGTTATCATTTCATCATATAATCTTCAAAATCCAGAGTGTATTTTGTACTTACAGCACATCTAAATTTAGACCAACTACACTTCAATTGCTCACTAGCCACATATGGCTAGTGGTTATTGCACTGAACGGCATGAATATTTGGATGCATCAGTAAAAGGATTTTGTCTGTTACTCTGAGTGACTTAGGAGATGTTTCAGAGTTTTAAACATTGAAGTGTTGTAATTTGATTTATGTCTTTAAAATACCTTGGCTAGCCTGAATTTAGAATACACCATAAGGATCAGGAATAGACACAGGGAGACCTATTGCAATAATCTAGATGAGGAATGATGATGGCTCAGGTGGGAGCCATGGATGACATAAAAAGTAGTTGAATTTCTGATCATTCTGAACATAGAACAAATAGTATGGATCACACTCGGGGTGTCAGAGGAGAGTCAAAGATGACTGAAATTTTGGCCTGAAAGCCAGAAAAGATGGAAAAACCTTAACTGAGATGAGGAAGGCTGCCAGAGGGGTGAGGGAAGAAAGGAGTTCAGCCATTGATAGGTGTATCTGAAAAGCACACTAGACATCCAAGTAAGGATGGTGAGTAAACAGTTGGGTATATATCTGGAGTTTGGGGAAAGTATAGAGATAAATGTTTGGAGATCACCAACTTTGAAACTGAATAAGATCACCAAGGGAGTGAGACTAGACAGAGGTGGGAAAAAAGTACCAAAAACTGAGCCTTGGAGCATCTGAAATGAAAAGGGTTAGTTAGAATAACATGAAATTGGTGTTAAAATAACACCAAATACTTGAGTGTTTTTGTATCATTTTTAGTTTTTTTTTAAATTCTGACAATTATTTATCATCATTTTATCGAAAAACTTAATATTTAGATGCAACTCAGGCTTTCTTCATGACAGTTTTGCTTTAAAATGTCTCACAAACCCTCAAATAATTAACTCATTATACATGAGTAAATTTAAACAGTGGGCAGTTAAAATTAAAAATGTGGTTGGAATGAATTTATAGCCAACAAGTAGTTTTTTTTTGTTTTTTTTTTTTGTTTTTTTTTTTGTTTTTTTTTGAGATAGAGCCTTGCTCTGTCGCCAGGCTAGAGTTCAGTGGTGTAATCTTGGCTCACTGCAACCTCCGCCTCCTGGGTTCAAGTGATTCTCCTGCCTCAACCTCCCAAGTAGCTGGGACGACAGGTGCCTGCCACCACACCGGCTAATTTTTTGTATTTTTAGTAGAGATGGGGTTTCACCATGTTGGCCAGAATGGTCTCGATCTCTTGACCTCATGATCCACTCGCTTCGGCCTCCCAAAGTGCTGGGATTACAGATGTGAGCCACCGCGCCCGGCCACAACAGTTTGTTTTTAATACATGTCGTTTATGTTTGTGTTCCCTGGAGATGTACAGGGCAATTGTTATTTGATAAATATAGCACTAACCACCAATAAAGCCTGTTTAAATCTATCCTACAATTTACAAACTAACATGGCTTTGTTTTACTTATGCTCACCAATTTGCTTTTTTGTGTAAAGTCTCTGAGTGATGGTTGTGTGTCTTTAACTTATTGTAGTCTGTTGATAAGCAAGACCTTTATTCATTTAACTATATTCAAATCTCAGGTATGAAGAAGGTCTCATAAACAAAATCCATTATTTTACTATAAGCACATTCATAACTGTTTAAAAGAACTACAACATGTAGTTCAAATGAGATTTTAACCCTCTGTGATCTTTTTTATGAAGCCAATTATTTAGAATATGATACGGAAAATAATGTATTAAGCTAAAAACTGAAAATTAGAGTTTAATAACTCATTTTAATCTAAATTGCTACATATACATAGTGACAAATTAGTTTTATAACACAGACAATTGTTTGTGTTTGTGTCTTTTCAGTCTGTTCGAGAAGTCACAGGCTATGTGTTAGTGGCTCTTAATCAGTTTCGTTACCTGCCTCTGGAGAATTTACGCATTATTCGTGGAACGAAACTTTATGAGGATCGATATGCCTTGGCAATATTTTTAAACTACAGAAAAGATGGAAACTTTGGACTTCAAGAACTTGGATTAAAGAACTTGACAGGTAAGGAATATATACATAATGGCAGATATGCTTTCATTATCAATATAAGGCAATGTACACAAAAATGTATATGTAGGGTTACTGTCATATTTGTTACATTAAGGTACACCCTAAGGCATTTAAATATCAGTGATTTATTCATTTTATGAGCAATGATGCCCCGTGATGCCCTTGTTTTTGTTTATGGATTTTGTAAGTGCAGTGTGAAGGATACCATAATACTGTATCTCAGCTGAACAGGAGTAAACTCTGGAAATGCTCTGTAACTGAAAACTGAGATATGAAACATGCTGTGTTTGGTGGTTTCAGGTGAACAGTGGACCATATCATCAAATTTTTGCAGTAATGCAATAACGAATAGAGCTTAGTAATACCCAAGCTATTATATCTATTTCCATGAATCTTTAGTTTTCTGCACAATCACCTTATTTTTGGAAAATATATCTAATTTATACAGTTTTGATTTCTCTTATTCAGTAGCTCACTAAATGCCATCAGCAATTCTTTCTCAGAATACTTCAATAACATCAGATCATCAGAGTAGTTTTTTCTCATTAAGATTGGAAATATATGATGTAAGCAACCTAAAATTATCATCCTTCTATGAAAAACACTCAATAGGAATTTATTTTGTAAGCTGGTTCTTGCCATCCCACTGTTACTTTTCAGTTTGCATAGCTCAGAGTATGTAAAAGTCCTTGTAGGAGGCTTTTTGGTATAATGGTTCTAATCATGAATTTTATTCATGCATACCTGTAATCAAAATGAACTGATTACTGAGATTGCACCATTGCTCTCCACCCTGGGCAACAAGAGTGAAACGCCATCTCAATAAATAAATAAATAAATAAATTTAAAAAATAAAAGCTAATTAGTGAATAATTAGTACCTCACTGTGGGATAAAGGAGTTTTCACTTTTAATTTACTATAAATTAATATAATCAATATATTTTGCATCCAAACATGTAGTGGTTTTATATGTACTTTGAGTCCAATAAGTAGTCCAAATAATTCTTGACATTGAAATATTAAACAGTTTAAAGATATGGCCTTAAAATATAACAAAAAGTAAGATGAATATTGTCAGAATATTGAAATCATTTGTTTCTTATATTTGAAGTAGATATTACATTTATAGTTTTAAGTTAGACATAGCTTCATAGTTAGCCAGACATGTGAGATAAAATTGGGATATTTTGGGTGAAGAAAGGAATACTGATTGTGTTATTTATTTTGGACATGATTGCTATAGAGTTGATGAAATAATGGTGAATGCAAATTGTTCAGAATTTATAGATTCCTTCATCAACATTTTCACTTTTATTTCTTTCAAAGATAGTTTTCTTACTGAAGAATGGAGTTTTTTACTAAATTACTACTTATATAGAAATAATGATAGGAGAAAGAATTTTGGAAATGAAATGTGTAGAGAACAATTGAGTGATTGAAATTAGGGATCTAAAAATACTGTAATACGATCCAGTTAAAACCTGCATAGGAAGCATTGTGTTTTCATCATGATTTCCTTCTGAATATATTAAAGAAAAAAATTGAATAAGTTGCTTCTCAAACTTTTTATAATACTTGAATCTTGTTATTATTCCATAAGATGTGCTGTTTGAGGAATCTTTCCACATAGAGAATTTGTCTTTAAATAGTTCCCTTATTTATTTTCACATTTAATACCAGTACTACTAAATTATTAAAACAGAGTTATTTAATCCATCAAAATTATGCCACATTTAAACATACCTCATAGTGAGTATGTGCATAACTTGTATTACTTAAGATTGTGACAGTTGTTCAACTTGCGCGTACCAAAATATAACACTATTATTTCAAGAGTATTATTATTCACTTTGCATGAAAGCTGTTATACTTTCTTTTGCTGTAGTACAAATGGATAATTAATAAGTGATTAAGAAAATGAGCTGATTGTTTAGAAAAATAGATACTCATTCAAAAGGTATTAATTTCTTTGAGTGTGAATTGAAGAAAGTGCAACAAAATGGTAGAAATTTAGGCTAATATGGACATTTTTCAGATATTTTATTTATTAGGTGGTTGACTGCTATATGCCAAAATTATTCTGTAAGGGAGACAGTCTAGGGTCATTGAACTTTAGGTATTCTGATCGATAGTGTTACTCCAATTGTGAGAATCAGAAGTTACACGGACGCATGATTGTGTTTGTGTGCAAGAATATGCAAGAAATGACAGAAGACACCTAACTGTTCACATGAAGAAGAATATGGGATAAAATTTACTCTATGGCAAAATCTTAAAAGGCTAAATGTTCTAGGTAACCCTATTAAAGCAACAAACAAGTGTCATAATTAAGTTCAGGTAAGATTGTTTTTGTGCTTTGGAAAAATATTTGTTTTATGTTGCTTGTTTTTGTGTTATGCAAAGCAAAAATTTTAAAACAACATTTTTATATTCTATTAAGGGCAGAGCTACTGGACTGGCCTTAATTTTTTATACCTGGTATAAAATGAGGGGAAATAGCAAATCTGCTGATTAGTCGGATACCTCACTGCCTAATCTACCATACTGTATTAAATTTTTAACTCCGTTCTTAAAGGACCAGCACCATGAGCATCATCCAGGAACTTAGAAATGCAAATTCTTGGGCTTCACCTGGAACCTACTGAATGAGAAACTCTGGGGGTAGGGCCCAGCAACTTGTGTGTTAAGTATCCCTGTAGTGATGCTGACGATTACTACAATTTGAGAAGCACTAATCTAATTAATGGTATGTTACCAAGAGATGGTAGCACTATATCCAGTTAAATTCTTCACAATTATTTGTATTCATCTATCATCTTGCAAAGAGAAAGGAAAGGATGGGACAGGAACAGGTAAGGTTTTGCTTTCATGACAAGAAATACACTGTATGTTCGGGTGAAAATGAAAATAACACATGAGGATCCTGGAGAGCCACTTGGGTGTAAAATGACTTAAAGATAAGGAAGATGCTGGGAATAAATTTTTCTATAATCATTTTGCCAAATGCCAACTTTGTATATTGATAAATCATTAAAAAGGCAATAGTAATTCATGATGAATTTTCTTCTTAAGCAAAATTTTATTTTTAAGTACTTTCAACAAGGTAAATAACCAGTAAGAATTATGGGGATGGGAAGTGCACAGAGTATTGTAACCAAGAGTTTTGAGATGAAGACTTTAAGGGTTCTTTTGTGTATATTTGCATATGGTTTGCATTTCTACTTAAAGCTTTTTCACTGTTTGATATTAGAATAGTATGTGTTCAGAACAGCACATTAGCTTTCTGCAAACTTTGTGTAACAGAGATATTTAGTTAACACGAAGACTGTCATTATACACTAGTTAATGGTTGGATGTCACTGAGACATATACAGATTAATTCCCACCTTAAAAATTCCTATTAATTAGCTTGATGTTCACCAAAAGTTGCTGCATGGCCTAAAAAATTACTGCAGATCTTACTTACATACTTTCATGTTGGTTGTGCCCGAGACAATAAATGGATTTAAACCTATTTTTCTGGCCAAGCAGAAACATTTGTTTTACTGCTGCTTCTCACATTTCCCAGTATGTATAGGGTAGACGATAAGTAGAGGGGAAAAGAGGCAGTTGCCTAGACTAAAAATAGGCCACACAATCTATGAAGGACTGAGGAACTTATATTAGCATACTCTAGGTCTAGGTGTCCTGTTAACACTGCCTTACTTTTTTCTTGCCAGTGGAGAGGTTACACTTCCATCAGTGCATCCCTTCAGGCATATGATCATCTATATCTTGAGGCCATTGGGAAGGTCCCTACTGCATCAGAGAAGTCCATATCTGGACAGGGGACACCATGTCTTCCATTAAGGTCGCTTGCCCGTGGCTGTGGTTCTTATTAATCACTCTTGATGAGGATGTCCTGCTGACTTTTTTTAATCACCTCTTTCTTAACCAAACATTCCTATTCAAATTGACATTTAATAGTATATATACAATCTTAATTAATTCTGTAAGCTTCTACTTGTTTAGTCACTAGTCTGGCCAAACCCTAAAAGGAATTATATGGGCCATAAAACCCACTATTACTTTCTCCCTTCTGCAATTTATAAAATCACCTCATCTGCTACTAATCATTGGTAATATGATACAATTTAATCTACATATTATATTGTAGATATAAAGGAATCTTTCATAAATACTTAAGTTTAATTCTATTCTATTTATATCCCAAACAGGAAGATAAACACTTAAGTTCATATCTATTTTGTTTATATCTTAAAAGGAAAGGTAAATGCTTAAGTTCATATCTATTTTATTTGTATCCATATAAAATAGATAAATGTAGTTTGATCTTGATATGGAATGATAACCTAGGTACAAATTTAATACACTATACATATATTTATCACACTAAATATCAGCTTAAATAATTGAATTTTTACTTTATAAATTATGAGACTATCTTTAGAGGAGGTGATATTTGGGATGAGACGAAAGTACAGAAAGTACAATTGGTGTTTTTTAAAAATTAACTGAACCCTCTACATATTTTCAGGCCAACACATTCACATGTTTTTGTCTTTATTTGGTATTTTATGGACATTGTAATCATTTTGTTAACTGTGTACTGGATCATCTTGATTAGATTATTATTTGAGGTATGGACAAACAAAAATTTAAAACAAAAAGTAAAATACCAAAGTTATTCCTAGAAGTCCTCAATAGTAATGAAAATAATATATGAAGTTTGCTGGATTCTGGTAGATGAAAAATAGAATAGAAGGCTTGATGGCGCATGCCTGTGGTCCCAGTTGCTCACAAAGCTGAAGCAGGAGATCTGGATCCCTTGAGCCTGAAAGTTTGAGGCTGTAGTGAGCTATGATCACGCCACTGCACTCCAGCTTGGGTGGCACAGAGGGACCCTGTCCCAAAATAAATAAATAAATAAAATACTCCATCCAGAAACTACAACATCTAAATGATGTAAAATGTGAAAGAGGTGATATCT